TCTTCTTCTTATGGCTGACATATGGTGAGTCATTGTGAACGGAAATTACGTCTGAAGTTGACAAAAAAATTAAAATCATTAGCAACTATTATGTGATGTGAAATTTAAACATATGATGTAACATAAATCTAAATAAATAATTGTACTGTTTACCTGCAGAAAGAGTTGAAAAATGTTGGTGAGGAAGAAGAAGACGAACAAAAATATTAAATGAGCAAGAAGAGCACGGACAAAATAATTGTGTTTTTTGGTGGAGTTCTCCATAAGTTTAAATAGACTAAAATTTATAATGGGGTAGAGATCATGGTGTTCTAACTTCTACCATGATGAGTTAGTAGATGGTTAGAGTGAATAAGGAAAACAAAAAAAAAAATTAAACACGGTAAGGAAATATAGGGAATTAGTGTTTATAATTTATTATAGCTATGCATTTTAATATGTCCATTAATCAATGAGTAATTTATCATGAATATCTATAGGTTCCATTAATTGGTGTGGCATTATACACACTACCCAAAATAATAGAAAAATATTACCATTTAATATTAGATGTTCTTAAATTAGAGATTTATTAATTTACAAAATTGCCCATAGGTTTAGGTCTAGATTTTAGTTCAAAATACCTTTAGTTTATATATAAGATATGGACAAAATAGTTCATATTTACTTGCTGCACAATTAATTGCAGGACTGATTTCGTGTGGAATGGAGGGGCTCCATGAAGAAATATTCAAATATTATACTCAATTTGCTATCGGGAAAACAAAACCTCCATTAATAAAGACATGAATCATACAAAGAAAATGCATATAAAAAATAAAAATACATGATAACATCGTTGTTAAATGGAATTTGATGGAAGTCCGGATGGAATTTCAGATTAGCGATCCAAATCTCCGCATCTGACTTCGTTTCTTAACGACATGCCCAAGAAAAACTACTATCCGCGCCACTTCTTTCGTGTAGTTCACTCATTGGCCCCGTTGTGATTGCATGACATATAATTGCGGATGATTCCATTGCCAATTGATGAGCTTTCGTGTGTTGAAGTCTTGCTAGAACATCAATTCATTCATAGGTCTTCTGATCGGCAAAAAGTTTCAATTTAAAGCGTGGTGGGGATAATGATTGCTTTTAGTGGAAACGTGTATTATTCCATGCACCCTGAAATAATGTATGAAGTTAAAGTTCAGATGCATGCAAATACATTATAATTAATGATACAAATATGAAGTATCAACGATGTTCGTAAAATTTGGAGCCATTCTGCATGAACATGACAACAACATAACCATATCAGAATACACACGTTAACTCTGAACATCATCAAATGTATATGGAATGGAATACAATAAAAATGACAGTGAAGACTATACAAAGAGAAGCCAACGGTAGCAAAATATAATTTCGAGAGACAATAGTTGAATGATATGAACCAACATAAACTAAATCCTTGAGAAATCATTATATGCATACAATTCGAAACCAGCAGATAAACTTGAGTAGTTGATAAAAAAAAAAAAAAAAAAAAAAAAATCAAACAAAAAACTGCTGGAGACGTGGAATGAGATGTGGACTAAACAATTATTATTAGTTACCAAAGATAAAAGGCTGTAGATATTGAAAAAGGAGTGTTGTTTTGTTTATGTAACGTGGCAAAAAACACGGCACAACCCATGTTTCTTTTATTCTGAAAGAAAAATATTAAAAAAACCTCACACCAATAATAAAGTCTGTGAGATCGCAAGGGAGAGGATTATATAATATCCTGTGTGTAGAAGTTAAAAAAGAAGATCTCGTTTTTTGTTGTAGAGGTTAACGCAAATATAGGTTTGAGGAGAGAAGTTGTTGTGAGATTACAAATCGTGTGTTGCTGCAGTTCACACACATCGTGTATACAATTTTTTTTTTTTTTTTTTTTTTTTTGTGTTTTTTTTTTCATTTTCTGAGTGTTATCAGATGTTTAGAGAAAAAAACTACCACAAAATCCATAAGAAAAAAATACCATTAAAAAATATATTAAATGACTAAAATGCCCCTAGGTTTAGGTTTAGGTTTTAGTTCAAAATATCTTTCTTTTATATATAAGATCACGGTTCAGTATCAATTTTGATAATTATTAAAAATATAATTAGAAAATAAGTAAAAATATATTAAAAAAAAACTATTAAAGTTTCTTAGGGTTTGCAGCGTTTCTTTCTTTTATATATAAGATTAATTATATCTAAAGTTTGTTTCATAACGAATCGAGACCAAACCGACTTTTAACTATATCAAACTGAATACTTCACTAGGTCAATTTGATTTTCAGCCATACTTAATTAGTGCTAACTCTTTTTATCGAGTTTATGCAAACAAATTTTTGGAAAATACAGTTTTCGTCCCTCAAGTTTGCACCAATTTCACTTTTGGTTTCCATGTTCACGAAAAATACATTTTGTTCCCATGTTTCAATAATTTGACACTTTTGGTCCTTGTCGTCAATTTTCTATTAGTACTAACGGAATCAAGCGTGTACACATCACTGCCTTAACTGACGTACTAATGGTAAATTGACGAAAATTATCAAAAGCATCAAATTATTGAAACATGACTGCATTAGGGATCAAATATGTTTTTTGTAAATAAGGGGACCAAATATGAAATCAGTACAAACTTGAGGAATGAAATTGCAAATTTTCCTTAACAAATTTTGTAATAATTTTACCGAAAAAAGAAGAAGTAATTCTTGTATTTGGAAGGCCAAAGGCCCAAAACCACAATAATGCCACGCTGTTGCTTGTGGCAAAAGAAAAATCGTTCTTGACGGTTATTTTCCTCGTAGTTAGCCGTTGGGCAGAGGGGCAAAATAAAAAAAAAATATTAACGGGGTTAATTTTATTTTAACGCGTGTAAAAATATGGTAATAAGCATTTAATTAGTCGAAAGTTGATATGGAAATTGAAATCTTAGTGCTTCAGCACAAATATGGCAACACAATCTTTGATTCTTCCTTCCTTATATTTCCTCCCTATACATACATACATATATACATACACACCATTCCTACCTCTATATATACACATACTTCCATCTGTTATTACAGATACTTTCTTCGTTTTAGTTGCACAAAATTTCTGAGTTTAATCACCAAACTAATAAGGTATAGTTTCTTTAACTATTTCTTTCTGTTAAATTAATCTGCCTTCTGATTGTCTTATTTTCTCTCTCCTTTCTCTCCATTGATTTGTAAGAGAGAGAAAAGGCAGTAAACTGAATATTTTTTATATATTTTTTTTAAAGATGGGGCGAGGAAAACTGCGTATGGAGCTGATAAAGAACGAAAAAGTGCGTAACGCGGCTTTCGAGAAGAGAAAGAAGGGAATTGTGAAGTCTGCTAATGAACTCTCGACTCTCTGCGGGGTCCAAATAGGCATGATAATCAACGAGCCTGGACAAAACAACAACGAACCCACAATTTGGCCTGCGAACCGCGAAGTGATTACGAAACTGATCGATTCGTACAAGTCGAAATCTGCAGGCAACGACTGCAGATACGGGACCTATAATTTGCCGGCCTTCTTCAAGAACCAGACCGAGAAAATCGAGGACGAAGTTAATAAATTGAGGAAGAGGACGAGGGAGGTGAAGTACCCGAAGTGGGATGAAAGGTTGGACACTTGTTCGGAAGATGAGTTGAAAGATTTTGCTGGTAAATTAACGGCCAAGATTGAATCTGCTAGGGTGAGGATTAATTCGATCAAGGTCTCAAGAAGCACCGTGTTTGTGAATCCCTCGGCCGAACAATTTCAACAGCAGCAGTACTATGATGGCAGATTCAATATGGGAAATCAAAGGATGATGATTATGAATAACGGTAATTATGCGTATAATAATATGCAAGATAATCGGATGCAGGACTGGAATGTTGGTAATTACGGGTTTGGTTTTGACGAAAGTCGGGTTCCGAACGGTGGTTTTGATCCGAATTTCGGTAATTATGGGATGATGAGGGTGAATGGTGGTGCGGGCAATGGCGAGTCACGAATGTCTTTTACAGTGCCGAATGTGGGGCCCATTATGCCTTACACTAATGCGCCGACGTTTGAGCAGTTGATGCCGTTTTACACGCCGAACGAGGGACAGATGGCAAGTGTTTTTCCTCAGATGCAGGCTGCTCAAGAGGGAGATTACCTCCAGAGGCATGGTTTCTAGTCTAGAAAATCTGAATTAACCAAGGCATATATATATCTTTTGTATAGATAGGCTAATTACGGTTTTTATTTTATTTTTTTCGGTTAGATTTGAGGTTGTTTAAGGGGATTTTGAGATTAAAACTTCGAATGGTCGTTCTGATTTATTTTGTTTATAATAGTTCTTACCGATAAATTGTTGTTCTTCGAATATATATACGCAGATTTTCTTGAACTGTTGATATTGAGTTTGATGATCCAAGAAATCTCTCCTGTACGCACAACTGAACGATATATATAACATAACCAAATAAAAAAAAAATTGATTAGATGCATTGGCTTCGTGTTATGATTTATGAACATTCCACTAATAATAAATTATATAGAAGACGAACCTAATGAATGATGTTAAAAATTGTCCAATGACTCATGAACTAACTCTCGATTATTAGGTATAAAAAAAAATTCAATACTGTTTTACTAACCGTTTGATATCGAACCTTACTACTGGTTCAAAAGCTCACTTCTACACAGAAACTGGTTCGCTAACCGATTTAGAAACATGGGGGTTTACCTGCAACATGGAAGTCCAGAAAACGAAGAGTTTTTAGATGTGATTTATTTATTTTTCTTGAAATAATCAGATTTGTGGATGACTGCATGGGATGTTTTGAAAATTTGGCTGTGTCGTGTTATGAAGATTACCTTTGCTGATTTATATAGCTCGTCGAGAACTTCAGACAAGGTTGGATGTGCATGGACAGCAAACTTAATGTCCTGTGAGTTATTATAGTGTAAAAAACATAAGCGATACATCGAATAATGTCTGTGCAGTAAGTTAAATATTCACAAACCTGAACTCGTGTGCCTAATGCTATAGCGTTCGACGCTTCGTGTATGAGGTCTGCAGCGTGCATCCCAAGAATGTGGACCCCGAGAATTTCGCCAGTGTCAGGTCTGTATATCAACTGCAAGAAACAAGATCCAAAAAATTCAGAAATTCTTCGAATGCTAAAAAATTGAAAGAGCAAGAAGATAGATCGAACCTTTGCGAGTCCTTCCCCTTCGTTTTCAGCTAGGGCCTTGGTGTTGGCCTTAAAACTTGTTTTTGCAATACTTATCTCAAATCCCTCCTTTTCAGCTTTTTCCCTTGCTTGTGGCTGGACGACAAAGCCCCGAAAAGAGTAAAAAACAGCTTACTATACAAACAATTAGTAATATAACAGTTTTTTTTCGTGTAAGATCTCTACTGAATTCTATGTAGGTTAAGTGTACCTCAGTCAACCCAACCATACTGATTTCAGGATGAGTGAAACAAGCTGCTGGTATGCTTAAATGATTAAGCACATAATCTTTTCCGGTAAGTTGTTCAATGACTGTAAGAAGGCAAATGAAAAGGACATGTAATAAGATAAGACAGGTTCAATTAGGACAGAGAGTTCACTTACTGATTTTCGTAAGGTATTAAATCACAAACCAGAAATTCCTTGTGCGCTTGCTGTATGGGCGAGCATCAGTTTACCATTCGCGTCACCTATGCAATATACATGTGGGACCTGAAGACAAAAAACCACCATGTAAGAACATTTTGGAAGTTTGTCACAAACAATTGCAGTGGGGAGGGCATGGGCAATGTACCAGATTTCCATCTGCATCAATTACTCTCATGCGATCGTCAACAGGAACAAAACCCCGTTGAGTCTCTACATTAATCTGCAAACAAATCAAAAAGCAAATCAATTAAGTTCGAGTTTATCACAATGATTGGGAATGCAAAGAGATCCAAGGACTTCTCCTTGCTTCTTCTTGTGTTCAAGATTTTATAGGGGTTAAATTTATAATTCATCAAAAGTTTACAAAATGCTTACATTATTCAGCCCTAGGCCTTTGGTAAATGGAGCCCTTCCTGTTGCAATTAGTGCTGCATCGACCTGAGCAAAAACAAGATCCGAGATTGCTTTATGGAACAACAAATGGAAGGAAATGAATTAATCAGAATGGACCATCTCTCATGCTATTAAATTAAAACGTGTAAAGTTTTATTTATATAATGCTAATTTTTGTTGGGAAAGCACATATTATACCTCCAATGTGTCTTTCGCTTCTTTTGTCTTGGCATCAATAAGCTCGATAGTCACCGGTTTTCCATCTTTTGCTGGAGTTATCTTTAAAAAATATCAGAAAAGTCATCACTGTACAAAGGAAGTATATATGCATACACAATAATAAATAATTCGATACCTTGGTTGCAAATACTCCAGTATAATAATCAATTTTCCGTGGATTTATTAGAACTCTTTGAGCTAACTTGCCTATCTCAGGATCAAACCCAGGCATTAGTTGATCCATAGCTTCAATAAAGGTAACCTACACAAAAGTAATGACTAATTAGTTGCTTCCCAAAGCATTAATTAAAAGGAAAATAAAGGAGCTTGTCAGCATCACCTCACTACCAAGAGCAGTATAAACATCGCTAAACTCGAGACCAATATAACCACTTCCTACTATGGCAATCCAATCTGGAACAAATTCCAATTTAAGAGCGTGATCACTAGTGATTACAGTCTTCCCTGCAGGTTACAGATAACAAGATACATCAGAATATGCAAGAAACCCAAAAGCAGCAAGATCAAGATTAGTTAAGACTTGATTGAAATAAGCAATATAATTTTCATAAATATAGTTTGTAATGAGGGATCTGTACACTGTGATTATGTGATTAAAAATTTGCATTCAGGTCACATCATAATAGTTGAAGAAGAACTAGACAATGAGAAACCAAGGTAGCATACGAGTTTCATAAAATATATCATTATAACACCAATACGATATTTATAGCGGCAAAATTGTCAAAACTATCTATTACAGTAGTACCTAAGGAGAGAACTCCTACCGTCAATTTCAATTCCTTTCGGGACAAAAGGAACTGAACCCGTGGCAATAATTATGTCTTTTGCAGTAACCACATTCTCAGAAAACCCAACCTTTCCATATTTGACCTTTTGAGGACCCTGAAATTATTTCAACTGACTGCGATAAGAATGAAATGCATAAATTTTATGACCAATCCGTAATACTTTTTTAAAAAGTAGTCTACATTAAGTTACGGAATTCTGTAAAAAAAAAAATATGATGCGTGTTGCCGTCTGATTTAAAATATTTTCACGTGAGTTCACATTTAACATACCACTATGGTGCCAAATCCTGTTAGAATGTCTACTCCAATTGCCTTCAACGAATTAGTCAGATTACCACGAATCTTTGAAGCAAGATTATTCGCATGGTCAGCCACTGCCTGCCTGTCGTATCCAGCAGCTGCTACCTACCATTGATGTTAGGAAACAAATATCAAGTTCGATAACAATTTCAAGGAACAGAAAACACGAGAAAATAAACATTTAGTTGTAAATGGTGGATGTCGAAATGATCCAAAGAATTGCACCAGAATACGAAATTAAGCTCTATACTACGTAATGTAACAAAAGTGTCCAATTCATAAATTCCATGATCGGATTAAGGTAGAGTAGAAGTGAAAAACCTGCAAACCCAAAGCTTTCATGTGATGCTCGTCTTGAAGTTCACGCATCCTACCACTTACTGCAAGTAGGGCTTTAGAAGGAACGCATCCCCTGTTTACACAAGTTCCTCCCATCACATCGCCCTCGATAATAGCTGTTTTAAGACCCTGAAAAATGATCATGTAATTCCTGAGCTTCAGTGGATTCATAAGAAACCACTTTGACATAATTACCTATCAATGTCAAAACCACGAAAACCTTTTAAATTTTCACATAATTCGGTCCGGTTTCAGTTTGCTTCAACACTAAATCTTATGCCGAATCATCATATACTAAGATGCAAAACTAATGTCCCAAAATTTCCAACTTTGACATAATTTCATTAATTCCTAACCTACATAAGCTCATAGATCACACATCCACTCATCAAAACTACCAATTCAATAAAAAAAATAAAAATCAAAGCTCTTACTTTCTCAACAGCATGCAATGCAGCCCCATGACCGCCAACACCGGCTCCAATAATAACTAGATCATAATCAAACGACGTCGCACGGCGGCTTCCATTGTCAGCTGCAGCTGAAGCCGAAAAAACCGTCAGCTTCCCCGAGCGCGGCTTCGTCGAAACAATTCCGATCCTGTGAGACTCGCCATTCCGGAATTGCGAGATCGATTGAAACCCCAACGCCTCTCGCCGGAGACCGCAAAATTGGATATCTGAATTTGATCGGAAAATGGTGTGTGGGGGATGTGGTGTGTAGAGAGACGAAACAGAAGCCTGCATTTCCAAGTTTTTTCTAGTGTGTGATGCGAGAGAATGATTAGTGTGTGTGTGTGTGTGTGTGTGAGAGAGAGAGAGAATGATTAGTGTGTGCAATGTGTGAGAGAGAGTGTGTGTATGGAAGTGTATCTATATCTATGCCTGAGTTTTTTGTGTTCAGCCGGTACAGTTGAGAAGGGGATGTATGGAAGAACCGCGGATAAAACCCCCTTGAGGCTGACGTGGCGAGTTACTATTGGTCCACTTGTTTACTATACACGCCGAGTTGTATTATTGAATTATTTCACATATACACAAAAGTATAATTGAATTTATTAGTGTTTTAGCTCGTAAATCTATGCTTAGTATATGAAATTAGCCAAAAATAATTTACGAACTAATACCCATAAAATTGATACAAGTTTATTTGTGAATTTTTACGTAAATGAAGGTTGAAAAATATATTTTAATTTAATTAAATGTACAATGAATGGACGAAAAAAAATATAAATCTAGATTCAAATTATTTTGATATGATTTAGTATCAATTTACTTACGTAAATTAAATAGGAACACGATGACAAATCACTACACATGAGGAGGTGATATACGTAGAATCTTTCGTTACTTGAAGAGTTGTAAAACGTCGAGCTCTCGATTTTGAAAGGTAAGCACACGTAAACTAAGCAGGGTTGCCATATAACTTGAAATATATGAGTTGTTTATAAGTAGCTTAAGAAATCCTAATTATAAATTAAATCTCTAATTAAAATTAGTCTATAATGGGCCGAAACCCTTAATTTAAAATGTATGTGCTATTATACTAATTCATTTACAAGTAGGATTATGTTTTAGGTCTTTAAATATCGACCCATTAAATAAAGTAATTACTAGGCCCATAAGGCAGCCCAATTAGATATATCATTATATTATTTCGTAAAAAAATATTTTTAAAATGTTAAAAATAACATAAACATTTTAGAAAATCGATGTCCCGAATGGCCAAACGAGTAGTATTGCTCGTATGCCCATTGGCCTGACTATGGTTCTAGACAAATATGACGTGTTAATTACTTATTATTATTACAACGAATAATGCTCATTGGATACACGTCGATAACTTTCCCTTGAACATATGGCCGAATGAGTTGCATTGCTGCATGTCCATTGGCCCGACTTCGCTTCTACACAAATATGACGTGTGTAATTACGTATTATCACTATAAAGAATAACACACATTTGAACATAAATAGATAACTTTCTATTGAACATAATATAAGATGTAAATAATATGCAATCTGATTACGATTTGGCGTATCGTCAATAAAGGTAAAAACTTATATGAAATAAAATTGATATTATTAAACTACATTCTCATAATTATATTTTAATTTTCTCAATGTGCTGAAACCATCGTCACGGCATGTCAAAAAATAAGTAATAGTTAAAAATATTATCACATTATATATATGTAAAATAATGGAAAATAACCCTATTTCAAATATATAAGATTATCATTAAATTGAATTATTTTATAAGATTTTAAGTGATAGCAAAAATCATTAAATGGGTTTTATTTGAAGAAATATTATTGAAGTGAGATGAGTAGTGAGAAAAAGGCGATTGGACTTTGACCAAAAGGAAAGCGCGTCAAGCGACCACAAAAGCAGGCAGCAATCGTATAAAATGGCGGGGTGGCAGGAGCCGTAATTACAGTGCCTCAACAAGGGTAGTAACGTCATTCAGCTCACTGTTCTTACTGCGGTTTGAAAGGTCGAGCGGAATAACTAAATAAGAAAACATAAAGAAAAGAAGAAGAAAATATAAAGAAGGGAGGAGAGAGAGAGAGAGAGAGAGGATAGAGAGAGAGAGACAGGGTGGAGTTACTGCTCGCCTCTGATATCAATGGCGGTTAGGGGTTTTCAACTGATTGGAATACAGTAACCCGACCCGTACAAGTTATCAGTTTCGACGTTCTCTTTGTCGATTTTTTTTCACCCATTCGTCTCTTTTCTAAACCCTAATTTTGCATTTTGAGGTTTTCGTTATTGAGTTCAGCATATTCGAAGCCGTGCGGTTGGTGCGGTGAATTTATTGAACTTCGCGACGGGGCTTAGTTCTTTGGTGTATCCCATGGGTTCACAGGACAAATCACCGAATTCCAACAATTCCATGCAGGTCAGTGTAGAATTTTTTTTACATCAGAATCGATTAAGGAAGTGTTGTATCCCAGAACCATGACTGAATTCGACCCCTTTAACTATTTCATTTTTGTATTGTAGTCTTTAATTTTAATTTTAATTTTTTTTAATTTTTTTTGAGGGTCAAGCTTGTTTCAAGTGTTTATGTTTAGATTCTTTAGTGTTTAATCGTTTTATATACATTTTAATTTTGGCTATCAACATATGGTTTCAGTTCGGTGAACAGTATTTCTCGCGTGCTCTGAAACTATTCAGTTGCCAAATTAGGGGTGCAACCATTAGTCCTAGGGGCTTGTATTGTAATTTACAACACTCTGTTGGTGGATTCTTGACAATCAAGTAAAATCGAGCGTCTAGATGTTTCTGAATCATTAATCTAAGTATGCCCGCCTTTTCATTAGTTCTTTGGAAATTACAACTAGAAGTTATATCATATAAGCGTAATATTACATATTCATGTCCAGTATTCCACATTACACCGTCAGCCTTCCAGAACTAGGTTTCAGCTTTCTTTTCCCTCCTCCTCCAATAAATTTGAAGTGTACTCAAAGGATCTTCAGCTTTGGACTCTCTCTTTGAGTGCTTGTAATAGAAACTGAAATTTGCAGGAGATCGGATAATATTGGGATTTTCAGGTAAGTTGGTAATAACAGTATAGTTTTGAAGCTCCTAAAATCTTCTTGAAAGAAAGAAGTACATGGAAGTGCTAGTTACGAAATACTTCCTCTATTTATTGGACTATGGTGAAGCTATTCAGGAGGAACACTGCATGGAACTATGTTTATATGGTCCTACAGTCACTAAAATAACAGTAGGGCAAAGTTTAAATTGAGAGAGCAAAAAGTAAATAAGAGAATAAGTAGACTAGCATATAATGAATAGTCAGTCTTGTATCTATCAACATTTTGGTACTAGAAGTTGCAAACATTCACAAAAGTGCTTTAACTATCGAAGGAGCTATCTTTCATATGTTTTGACCTGCCACACTTACTCTCTCTCTGTCTCTTTCTCTCATTTCCATACCGTTCTTTTTAAGGCAACAGGTGCCAGTTCCTTCTTTTTCTCAAGGCATTTAATCTTGGTTGATGGTTATTCTCTTGATTTAGCTTTACTTTTGCATAATTCTAGGCATTAAAGAAATATAGTTGTATGCATGTCAATTTAGTTCAATGTTTCATTTTTTATTCCTGACTCATTCGCTTTCCCTCTATATGCTGAGATGGTTGTTCTGTAATTTATCTTGTTATCCTTGTCATAGTTCTCACACGTTTTAATCCTGATTTCAGCGTGTTAAAGTATATCGTTTGAATGAGGATGGGAAATGGGATGATCAAGGAACTGGCCATGTCACTGTTGATTATTTGGAGGTTTGACTCTGCCTTGTTTCCTTTAGTGGACATTTAAGTATCATTTTGTATTTGTGGTATGAGATTGAACATTGTAACTTTGTGGTACAGGGATCAGAAGAACTTGGATTGTTTGTTATCGATGAGGAGGACAATGAAACATTGCTGTTGCATCGCATCAGCTCAGAAGATATCTACCGCAAGCAAGAAGGTGCCCTTTTCTAACTCATGCTTTCTCCTTCACATATTTACATAAGACTCCATTTGTTCCATTTCCCGTTGTTTATATTTAATTGTACATCTTCAGATACAATTATTTCATGGAGGGATCCTGAGTTTTCTACTGAATTGGCTCTTAGCTTCCAAGAGACAACCGGTTGCTCATACATATGGCTAGTATCAAATATTTTCTTTTGTTTATTCAAATCGAAGTTTTCATCATTCTCTACTACTATTTTAATTATACTAAGCGTGTATATATTTTTTTTCCCATTTCCGGTCCATGCAGGGATCATATATGTAGTCTGCAAAGGAATATGCACTTCAGCTCACTGGCCAGTAAGTTCTTAAAGGATTCATATGTAGCTGTACTTGTCTGCATATCTATTTTTGGATCCGTAATTCTGAACATTTTTTCCATATTATGGGGTCCTTTTGGTTATTTTCTGGAAATTCTGTAGAGAAGCATGTTTCATGTGAAAAGATTAGAAATCAGTTCACCTCTTCTGAATTTTGTGAGAATTGGGCTTGCACTTATTTCTTCATCTTCAAAATAATTAAATTGATCATGGGGTTATTTTTATGTTGCTATTAATTTTTGTATACTCCATTTATTGTCAAAATATGTATGTTTTATCATTTCCATAGATTTACTTTTTAGATACTATAATTGTTGTCATTCTTTTGCTATCTTAGATAGTGATGAATTATATGTGTAACTGTGTCAGAGTTAATATTGGTATACTATCATGAATTCCCAAACAGAATTAATGGATGATGCTGATAATTTTTCCTTTTCCTTTTCTTTATTGGAATTTTGACCCATTGGTGTTCTTATTGGGCTCCATAGCAATTTATTTAGTTATCAGTTTCTTAAGTTTACTGTTTTATTCGTGGACAACATCAACTCTAGTGTCTAGATGGTGAACGCAAATTTTATAGGCCGGGATCTTGCATAGAGCTGCCTTATGTAGAAAAGTTTACTTTCATTTTACTCTACAGAGAATCTACACTAGCTGATGTTTCCCTATTCTAAATCCTTCAGATGAGACGTTCAACAACGTCAATAGTGAGCTGAGGGAGTTGCCTCCTGTTGAGCTCTCTACTCTCCCTTTGATACTTAAGGTACCAGCTGACTTGCACCAGCTTCCTCCCCCATATTTCCCAATTATAAAAACCTGAAGTTGCTTTATATTTACTTTGTTGTTCTTGTGATTAATGGGAACAATGTTATGGTCCATTGTGCTATGAAGTTTTTGTCAGTTTCCTGTCTCTTTGATGGCTCCTTAGTCCTTTCTTATCCTTCTTTCCTTATGTATCAAAGACAAAAAATGTGTCGTTTCTTGTTTTGCAGATTGTTGAAAGTGGCATTGCGGATCAGTTGCGAGTGACTGAACTTATAATGCATGATGTAGGTGACAGTAATGATCTATATATTTTGCATTATGCACACACCTTATTTAGGAACATGCTTCAGCATGGTGATCGTGAAAGTCCGAACGTATGTGCATGTGTATCTGTTCTGTTGCCTGTTTTAGTTGCAATACTTTTTTTGCTCATTCACAATGGTTGGCCTCTATTACTTGTATAGATCCTGTTATTTTTTCATTACCATTATTAGTGCAAGTATATTATTGCTTTTACCTTTACGAATATAATTTCTGCAAATTTTGTGTTTTTTGGGAAGGTTATTGCCATCCCATGGATAAGCCTGTAAATTATGGGAAATTTGTTACGCAAATCAGTTCCTTTAGCCTGTAATTTCTGGATAAGCTATGGATATCTCGTGCATATCCCTTATTAGCTCATTTTATTGTTCCCATTTTTCTTTCAAATTGGTTAAACTTTACTTTGTTCCTGGGCAGTTTTTAGCTTTCTGCCCCTTCTTTTAGTTATTGGTTCTCTTAGTATTTGCCGTCTCATTCTCTTGCTTCAGTTCGGTGGCATTGATTGGTGCTAACTTAAGTGAGGCTTATTGGTAATGCAGCAAGGTTTTTTCCCGAAGCTAATGGAAGTGTTTAGGATATGTGAAGATTTGGATGATGTTGATGGTCTGAAGTTAATTTTCAAAATTGTTAGAGGAATCAGTAAGTCAACTTACCATTTTACTTAGCTGTGTTATTTTCTTATCTTTGGCATAATTTAAACATTCTTTATATATGCTTAATTGCAGTTTTACTAAACAGTTCTCAGATCTTTGAGAAAATATTCGGGGATGAGTTGATTATGGATATAATGGGTTGCCTAGAATGTAAGTCTCTCTCTCTTTCTCTCTCAACTATTAGCTGAAAGTAGGAAAATGAACCTCTCCCTTACTCTTGTTGACATAAAATCATTTAGTTTGTTCTCTTAAAAGTTGTGTTGTTAATTTCCAGCATTTCATTAGCCAAAATATACAAACAATACTTAGCTGTTCATGAATCAGTAGCCGCATATCGGTCAAGGTAGCGCTCATGGTAGTGCATTATTACTTGCAATGTCCACTGCATCTCTCTGATTAACTTCTGTGTTGGTGATGGAACTGTTCTAATGTGGTTTGCAGATGATCCTGAGGTATCTCGTACTGATCATCGCAACGTTTTGAAAGAGCACGTGGTCTATAAGGAGGTAAAATATCCCAACGTGTTCAATATCAATTCCTTTATTCCACCCCCAAAATGGGATAGTGAAATTTCTGCTTTGGAACATGTTGCTGTTGAGGAGTTCAAGGAATTACTGGTTAGTGATCATCTTTATATTTTTATTGCTAATTATGTTTGTCTTGGTTTTGTTCCAGGCCATAACTATTAAAGACCCTGTAGTTCTTTCAAAGATTCATCAAACTTACAGAATTGGTTATCTGAAGGTATTGCTTTTTATTTCTTACTGCAGATCATGTTTTTCTTTTATCTTTATGAAGAAATGAATTTATGCTTTTATTGTTTTATGCCAGGATGTTATTTTGCCTAGAGCGCTGGATGAGGCAATAGTCGGAAACTTCAATACTATTATTCAGTCGAATAATGCTGTTGTAAGATCCATATCCAATTGGTTCAACTCTTCTTATTGTGTTTCATTTCTAAACTAATTAAATTTATGTGTTGCAGGTCGTTTCTTTGCTGAAAGATGATAACACCTTTATCAAGGAATTATTTGCTAGGCTGAAATCTCCTACGACTTCGATAGAATCAAAGCTAACTTTGGTACTACATTGTTCTCAATTTTATAATTTTTTTTTTTGCATTAGATACGTGGGTACATACTCCTATTTCCATGAACTTTTGTTCTTTGAAATTGATATTTCTTTGACCTATTGTTATGCAGCTTCCTTGAATTATTTCAGCTTGTAGTAATACTTAATAAAAGTATATATTGTTTCGACTTATGAGGTTATATTACTGCTGACTCATCTTACGCTAGTGATAATGTAATTTATAATCCTAGAAGATAGGTAGAACTGTAGACATAACAGGATATTAGTTTATGGTTAACGCCATGTGAAATATATATCCTAAGAATCCTAATGCAAAATTTTATTGTTGACAATTGAATTTTATGGGTCAGAATGCTATTGAAACATAAGATTTGAAAGTTATCTGTTAAATTAGTTTTAAATTGATATCTCCACCAAGGGTCTTAGGAGAAGTAAGCAATATATAGTTGTTATTGGAACTTTGTCTGTAAGAGCTAATGAACGTTCACTTCTCATTCTCGTATGTACTGAATAATCTTATGTAGCCCTCTCTAGATGTCTGTAGCTAACAGAACTTACTAGTTGACATGAGTTTCCTCTTAAAGACTTTGTGTTCCGTATGGTGTAAATATTAGTTATTTGATGTCCATAGAGGATTGTGGTAGACATGCTTGCCCCTTTTCTTTTAGGTATATATTCTTGCTTAATTAAGACTGTTGTGCGCACAATGTTGACTCCTGGATTTTGCCATACATAGTTTTCCATGGTCTTATGTATGTGAATGCCTGTTAAAGAAAGTTTATTTCATTGCAGACACATATATGCCTGTGGTGGTCGTTTGGTTCATTTTCTCTACTTTTGTCTCATCGTTCCATTTACATGAGACATCGGGTTAATCATTTAGGGTTAGGTATAATGTAATATGATGCTTGAGGTGTCTTTTTGTTTTTTTTTTAATATTTGGAATTCTGAACAGGCAATAAAGTTTCTTTTCAGAAACTAACATTAATTGTGCATGTAAAATAGGTACACTTCTTGCATGAGTTTTGTACCTTAAGCAAGAGTTTGCAGATAACGCATCAGCACAAGCTCTTTAGGTATATGCCGCATTTGTATTCTTTTCTCTGCTTTACATGTTGTACTCTGTTGTTTCATCTTTCCACTTCAGAGGAATTGACATTAACTTATAATAATCCATGCTCAAACTCTCCGGCGGTTACAAATTGTTCTGTCTGACGATATTTTTTCCGCATGCAGGGATCTTGTCAATGAAGGTATTTTTGAAATCATAGAAGATGTTTTGCAAAATGAAGACACTAAGCTTGTTTTGACTGGGTAATGAAACAAATCATAAAGGACTTGCAAGACAAGCCTAACTGTGCATGAGAATCTATAGTTGTCGTTCAGTTTATGTCTGATCACTGCTTGATAATTTTGTTGTAATGACTGCAGGACAGATATCCTGATTCTTTTCCAGCATCTAGATCCAAGTATTTTGCGCTCTTACGTATCTCAGCAGGAAGGTGTTCTTTTGGGACTTGTGGTGAGTAATGCCGAATTCTGTATTTCTATTATTTTACTGCAGCCTTTTGGTGCATATAGTGTAGTGGTGAGGTCAGTTGTCTTTAGATTGTGTGTATAGAAGGTGAGACATATGTGTGGTGTTAAGAATACTCTCTTTGTGAGGTTGCTCTGAAAAGGTCATGGGCAAATGACCCAAAGTTCCAAGATTTGCTTATAATAGACTCTCCTATCTTCTAGATCTTTCTTTCCGAAGGAAAGATATCTGTCCTTGTGAGTGAAATCTCATTATGCATGTGATTTCTTGTGATTTTTTTTCCTTTCTTGGGGATGGGAAGCAAATTGGAGTACAAGTTTTATTGAAGATAGTAATGGCTGGAGACACTCTTTAGTGTCTTCGACTTTCTTGATGAAGTAGGTCCATGGTCAAACTCTAACCTGGCGCTAAACATCCTTTAATTACCCTTTTCCTAGAATATGCTTTAATTACCCTTTTCCAAGAATAGCGAAGGCTAGTTAGACCCTTCAACTAAAAGGTTTGTCTTTAATTTGTAGGTAAAAAACATGCTTAGAGATTTTGGAGATGATATGCACTGCCAATTTTTTGAAATTCTTCGCAGTCTTCTGGACTCATCAACTCCAGGATCTCAGGTACATGACTTGTGCCATGGTTATTAACTTTCTATTCTTTTGTATGCATTTATTTTTGCTACTGTTCTAATTAATTAAGGATATCTCATTTTATTTTTGTATTTCTAATGAAGTTGAGTGGATGGCAAATCATGTCGGAGCATAACCTATTTAGAACTAAGACTGAGACAATAATGCTTTTTAGACTTTAGTTGCATGTATAAGCTGTATGTACTAAACTACTAATACATTTCAGTGCACTTGAAGCCATATTTCACTCACTCTCACATTTTCAAAATTTTCTGTTCTGATTTTTTTCTGCACAAGAGGCAGTATCTCCTTGTCTCTCTCTTTCTCTGTCATGTGTATGGCTATCTTTTTTTTGCTATTCACTTCTTTTGCCACCATTGCTTCTAAAAATACAGGCATCTCTCAATTTTATTGCAGAAGGAAAATATAGTGGACATTTTCTATGAGAAGCACTTTGGTCAATTAATTGATGCCATAACACTCTCTTGCCCACCAAATAGTGATGGTCAAAATGACGAGAAGTCTGGGAGCTCAGATGGAGGGTCCAGGAACCAAAGTAGCGTGAAGTCTGAGATTTTAGCAAATATATGTGATCTGCTGTGCTTCTGTGTTTTGCAACACCCTTATAGGATAGAGTAATTTCTTTGTTCCTTGTGACTGCTAATTTACTTATTAAGTGAATTCACGATTCATTTTTGTCTTCATCTTTGTCCTGCAGATACAGTTTTCTTCTTAACAATGTGATTGCTAAGGTTTTGTATCTGATTAGAAGAAGAGAAAAGTATCTTGTAGTTGCAGCTATTCGATTTGTGAGGACACTTATTACTCGCAGTGTAAGTTGATTGTGTTGCTTTTTTAGACACTAGGAAGAGGTTACTGAGATGGTTTGTTTTGCATTTTAGTTGGCTTGAGAAATGTGTGTTATGTTTACTGTTTTGCTTATATGCAATTTTTTTATTGCATCATAAGCCTACACTTGTTGCTACTTGCTTCTTTCAACTGATTGTAAACAATTTGCACTTTTTTTTTTCTAGTTCCTGTAATTTTTTTTGTGCGCACTTTGCTTACTGATACGAGTCTGATACCCTGATTAATTGATTGAAGAAGCACACTTAGCAAAAACAGGTTTTCTATCGTGAAGAATCTTAGTATTCATTTTAATCTGACCGTCCTTAATGTTTTGTAATTATCTGTTTGACCTCTTCCCTTGAATATTTGTTGTTTTTGTGAAACATTATTGCGAATCCGTTTGTTTATAGCCCAGCCCACCTCTATGAGGGCATGTATAACCTTAACTTCTGTTTCTCTGGTTTTTTGTCAATTATTTGTTAATGAATTTGCAGGATGAGCACCTGATGAGTCATTTAGTAAGGAACAATCTTTTCAAACCAATTATAGATGTATTTGTTGCCAATGGGGATCGTTACAATCTTCTCAATTCTACTGTTCTCGAACTCTTCGAATATATCCGAAAGGTGTTTATTCCTTTTATTTTCCCTTAGCTTGCATCTTCTACTGTTTTTCTGTTTTCTGAAACACGCCTTCCTACAGGAGAACTTGAAAGTACTACTCCGGTATCTAGTTGATACTTTCTGGGACCAGTTATCCAAATTTGAAAGTCTATCTTCTATTCATGCCCTAAAAGTTAAATATGAACAGGTATTAATTATTATGTGTTCTTTTAAGGTATTTATAATATAATTACCTCATTATTTGTTTTGCTACTCGTGACAATTACACTCTCTTTGCAGTCACTAGAAAGCGTGGGGACAACAAGCACTGGCGGTTTGTTAGACGAAAGGAAAAGGCTTGACGAGCGTGCTCTGGAGAAGGAAGAGGAGGAATACTTTAACGAGGACAGGTTTGTGCCCTTTATTCGCTGCTACGATTGCATTTAGTTAGTGTCCAAATTCAAAAGAACTAAGAAATTGTTATGCAAATTGTTACTTACTGAATTTTGTTTGCTCGGTGGTTTGCTCTACTAATGTTGGATCCACCAGTGATGAAGAAGATTCAGGGTCTGTTCGTACAGTCAGCAGCACTAAGAAAGCCCAATCTCAACATCCTGTATTAGTTAATGGTCCTTCACCTAACCACACATCAGCCAGGTATTATTATACTGCCAAGACTTGCTCATAAATTTCTTGTCACTGTAGTAGTATTTGAACTCAATATTACGTGCATAATTGAAGGTCTGGTGGGCTTGTTGACTACGATGATGATGAAGATGATGAGGATTACAAACCCCCTCCTAAAAAAACGGTCGTTGGATCTGATGAAGAAGAAGGGCTCCGATTAAAAAGGAAATTAGTTTCGCAAGAAGAGCCTGAGCCAAAAAAGTTACGAAGGTCCACAAAAGACTTAACGCCTCGAGATGGTGTTTTTGCTGCCTTGTGCTCTACTGTGCTACCAAGTAAGAAAGTAGAAAGTGTAAACCAAAACTCTGTTGAACCGAATCATCAAGAAAAGGGTTCTACAGGCTCGTCAGATTGCGGCCAAAACGATGGAACCGAGAATCATTCTGACAAGGAAGAAGTTTCTTCAAGAAGCTTTACGGAAGAGTTGAACGATTCTGTTGATAATACAAAAAAGGGTGGGGATGAAAGTCCTATTTTACCACCAAAGTCTTCTCCAGAGATGACCGTGAATGGATCTTGAGTAATTGTTGTAGAGAACTCAACCGAAAATAACGGTGATATGACAACAAAAAACGAAAAAAGCCCGTCAATACTGGGAGAGGATACTGTACAGTACTTTAGGATTTCATTGCAATTTCAGCTGACTAATTAATTGTCAGTTATCAAGACTTGCATCATCTCTATATAGTTTTTTTCTTTACGCTAATAACTACATCTTGGTTGATTTTTTGTTCTAGTTACTTTTATCTTACATTGATATTAGTCTGAGTTGTATGGTATACTGAAGGAAGGCAGCAAAAATCTGTCTTGCATGTTGTTGTTACTTTTTTTTCTCAGGCAGTTGTCGGTGTTAGTGTAAAGAAATGTACATTTTATTTCGAGGAAAACTATTTTATTTCTCGAGTCTTTTCCGATGTAGATGTAGGTTGGATAGGAGTTAGGACTGAGTTTTTAGTTTACTTGTTGCTGTTTTCTGAGAAAATATGTTAACACTTAACAGCAGGCTAACGGTAACATTTTCAAATTTCATTATCTTTTTGCATGAGTTATTACCTTCTTTAATTATGTTCTTGTTTTAGTCTTGTAGCACTGTTACAATCTCTTTTTCGGGTTTTTCTTTTGACAAATTTTGATGAACTTGAATGATAAACGACTGTCGAACAGATAAAATACACGTTTACAATTTAAATATTTATTTTATGAAAATACATATATATACATACGTACGTGATAAGAGTGTGGAACGTTCAAAAAACTTTTTCACGATCAAAATCACAAAAAACTGTATAATATAGTACACAGATTTTTCGGTAAAGTTGGTGGAACGTCCAAAAAACTATTTCACGATCAAAATCACCAAAAATGGTATACTATAAATACATAGATTAAGGGTAAAATTGGTGTAACGTCCAAAAAACTATTTCACGGTCAAAGTCACCATAAACTGTATGCTATATAGTACACAATTTTTTTATAAAACTAGTGGATCGTCCCAAAAACTTTCACGATCAAAATCACCAAAAACTGTATGCTAGCCTATAGTACATAAATTTTGGGTAAAATTGGTGAAACGTCTGAAAAAAAAATTCACGATCAAAATCGTCAAAAACTATACGCTATAGTACACAGATTTTGGATAAAATTGGTGTCCAAAAAAAAATTTTACGATCAAAATCACCAAAAATTGTATACTATATATAGTACACAGGTTTTCGGTAAAATTGGTGGAAAGTCCAAAAAACTATTTCACGATCAAAATCACCTAAAACTATATACTATAGTACACGGACTTTGGGTAAAATTGTTGGAAAGTCCCAAAAAAAAATTCACGATCAAAATAACAAAAAACTATATGCTATACTACACAAATTTTTGATAAAATTGGTGGATCGTCCAAAAACAATTTCACGATCAAAATCACCAAAAAATGTATACTAATATACAATTTTGGGTAAAATTGGTGGAACGTCCCAAAAACTTTTTCACAATCAAAATCACAAAAAACTGTATACTATATAGTACACAAATGTTTGATAAAATTGGTGGAATGTCCAAAAAACTTTCTCACGATCAAAATCACCAAAAATTATGTATACTATTATAGTACACAAATTTTGGGTAAAATTGGTGGAAACATCCAAAAAATTATTTCACAACCAAAATCACCAAAAACAGTATGCTATAGTACACGAATTTTGGGAAAAAATGGTGGAACGGTCGAAAAACTTTTTTGCGATCAAAATCACAAAAAACTGTATACTATAGTACACAAATTTTGGGTAAAATTGGTGGAAACATCCAAAAAACTATTTCACGATCAAAATCACCAAAAACTATATGCCATAGTACATAAATTTTGGGTAAAATTGGTGAAACGTTTGAAAAACTTTTTCACGATCAAAATCACAAAAAATTGTTCGCTATAGTACACAAATTTTGGGTAAAATTGGTGGAAACATCCAAAAAATTATTTCACGATCAAAATCACCAAAAAAATGTATGCTATAGTACATACATTTTGGGTAAAATTGGTGAAACGTCCGAAAAACTTTTTCACGATCAAAATCGTCAAAAACTATACGCTATAGTACACAAATTTTGGGTAAAATTGGTGGAAACATCCAAAAAACTATTTCACGATCAAAATCACAAAAAACTGTATGCTATTGTACATAAATTTTGGGTAAAATTGGTGAAACGTCCGAAAAAAAATTTCACGATAAAAATCACAAAAAACTGTATGCATAGTACACAGATTTAAGGTAAAATTGGTGGAACGTCCAAAAAACTATTTCACGATAAAAAAACACCAAAAAATGTATTGTATAGTACAAGATTTAGAATAAAATTGGTGGTACGTCCAAAAAACTTTTTCACGATCAAAATCACCTGAAATTGTACGCTATAGTACATCGATTTTGGGTAAAATTGGTGGAACGTCCAAAACCTTTTTCACGATCAAAATCACCAAAAACTGTATACTATAGTACACATATTTTGGGTAAAATTGGTGAAACGTCCAAAAAAAGATTTCACGATTATAATCACCTAAAAGGCTAAAACTATACACAGACTTTGGGTAAATTAAAATTGTTGGAAAGTCCCAAAAAAAAATTCACGATCAAAATAACAAAAACCTATATGCTATATACTACACAAATTTTTGATAAAATTAGTGGATCGTCCAAAAATAATTTCACAATCAAAATAACCAAAAACTGTATACTAGTATACAATTTTGGGTAAAATTGGTGGAACGTCCCAAAAACCTTTTCAAGCTCAAAATCACAAAAAACTTTATACTATAGTACACAAATTTTTGATAAAATTGGTGGAATGTCCAAAAAACTTTCTCACGATCAAAATCACCAAAAGCTGTATACTATAGTGCACAATTTTAGATAAAATTGGTGGAAACATCCAAAAAATTATTTCACAATCAAAATCACCAAAAACTGTATGATAGTTCATAAATTTTGGGAAAAAATGGTGGAACGTCCGAAAAAAAAATTCACGATCAAAATCACCAAAAACTGTATACTATAGTACACAAATTTAGGGTAAAATTGGTGGAAACATGCAAAAAACTATTTCACGATCAAAATCACAAAAAACTGTATGCTATAGTACATAAATTTTGGGTAAAATTGGTGAAACGTGCGAAAAACCTTTTCACGATCAAAATCACAAAAAATTGTACACTATAGTACACAAATTTTGGGTAATATTGGTGGAAACATCCAGAAAACTATTTAACGTTCAAAATCACCAAAAACTGTATGCTATATAGAACATAAAATATGGGTAAAATTGGTGAAACGTGCGAAAAACTTTTTCACGATCAAAATCACCAAAAAATGTACGCTATAGTACACAAATTTTGGGTAAAAGTGGTGGAAACATTCTAAAAACTATTTCACGATCAAAATCACCAAAAACTGATGCTATAGTACATAAATTTTGGGTAAAATTGGTGAAACGTCCGAAAAACTTTTTCACGATCAAAATCACCAAAAACAATACGCTTTAGTACACAAATTTTGGGTAAAATTGGTGGAAACATCCAAAAAACTATTTCACGATCAAAATCACCAAAAACTGTATGCTATATATAGTACATAAATTTTGGGTAAAATTGGTGAGACGTCCAAAAACCTATTTCACGATCAAAATCCCAAAAAACTGTACGCTATAGTGCACAGATTTAAGGTAAAACTGGTAGAACGTCCAAAAAACTATTTCACGATAAAAAAACACAAAAAAATGTTTGTTATATAGTACACAGATTTTGGATAAAATTGGTGGTACGTCCAAAAAACTTTTTCACGATCAAAATCAGCTAAAATTGTACGTTATGTACATCGATTTTGGGTAAAATTGGTGGAACGTCCAAAAAAAATTTCACGATCAAAATCACCAAAAACTGTATACTATAGTATATAAATTTTGGGTAAAATTGGTGGAACGTTCAAAAAACTATTTCATTATTAAAGTCACCAAAAACTGTAGACTATAGTACATAGGTTTTAGGTAAAATTGGTGGCACGTCCAAAAAACTATTTCATGATCAAAATCACTTAAAACTCTATACTATAATAGTACACGGACTTTGGGTGAAATTGTTGGAAAGTCTCAAAAAAACATTCAAGATCAAAATAACGAAAAATTGTATGCTATACTACACAAATTTTTGATAAAATTGGTGGATCGTGCAAAAACAATTTCACGATCAAAATCACGAAAAACTGCATACTAGTATACAATTTTGGGTAAAATTGGTGGAACGTCCCAAAAAAAATTTCACGATTGAAATCACAAAAAACTTTATACTATAGTACACAATCTTTTGATAAAATTGGTGAAATGTCCAAAAAACTTTCTCATGATCAAAATCACCTAAAACTATATACTATAGTACACAAATCTTGGGTAAAATTGGTGGAAGCATCCAAAAAATTATTTCACAATTAAAAGTCACCAAAAATTGTATGCTATATAGTACACAAATTTTGGGAAAAAATGGTGGAACGTCCGAAAAACTATTTCACGATAAAAATCACCAAAAACTGTATACTATAGTACACAAATTTTGGGTAAAATTGGTGGTACGTCCAAAAAACTTTTTCACGATCAAAATCACCTAAAATTGTACGCTATAATACATCGATTTCGTGTAAAATTGGTGAAACGTGCGAAAAACTTTTTCACGATCAAAATCACCAAAAACTGTAAACTATATAGTACACAAAATTTGGGTAAAATTGGTGGAACGTCCAAAAAACTATTTCACGGTCAAAATCTCCAAAAAATGTATGCTTATAGTACATAAATTTTGGGTAAAATTGGTGAAACGTCCAAAAAACTTCTTCACGATCAAAATCACAAAAAACAGTACGCTGGTACACAAATTTTGGGTAAAATTGGTAGAAACATCCAAAAAACTATTTCACGATCGAATTCACCAAAAAACTGTATGCTATATAGTACATAAATTTTGGGTAAAATTGGTGAAACGTCCGAAAAACTTTTTCACCATCAAAATCACCAAAAACTGTGCGTTATAGTACACAGATTTAAGGTAAAATTGGTGGAACGTCCAAAAAACTATTTCACGAGAAAAAACTCCAAAAAATATATGCTATAGTACACAAATTTTGGATAAAATTGGTGGTACGTCCAAAAAACTTTTTCACGATCAAAATCACCTAAAATTGTACGCTATAGTACATCGATTTCGTGTAAAATTGGTGGAACGTCCAAAAAACTTTTTCACGATTAAAATCACCAAAAACTGTATACTATATAGTACACAAAATTTGGGTAAAATTGGTGGAACGTCCAAAAAACTATTTCATGATCAAAGTCACCAAAAACTGTATACTATAGTACACAGGTTTCGGGTAAAATTGTTGGAACGTCCAAAAAACTATTTCACGATCAAAATCACCTAAAACTATATACTATATAGTACACGGACTTTGGGTAAAATTTTTGGAAAGTCCCAAAAAAAAATTCACGATCAATATAACGAAAAACTGTATGCTATACTACACAAATTTAGATAAAATTGGTGGATCGTCAAAAAACAATTTTCGATCAAAATCACCAAAAACTGTATACTAGTATACAATTTTGGGTAAAATTGGTGGAAGGTCCCCAAAAACTTTTTTCACGATCAAAATCACAAAGAACTGCATACTATAGTACGCAATTATTGTGATAAAATTGGTGGAATGCCCCAAAAAAATTTCTCACGATCAAAATCACCAAAAACTGTTATACTATATAGTACACAAATGTTGGGTAAAATGGGTGGAAACATCCAAAAAAAAATTCACAATCAAAATCATCAAAAACTGTACGCTATAGTACATAAAATTTGGGTAAAATTGGTGAAACATCCGAAAAACTTTTTCACGATCAAAATCACCAAAAACTGTACGCTATAGTACACAGATTTAAGGTAAAATTGGTGGAACGTCCAAAAAACTATTTTACGAGAAAAAAACACCAAAAATTGTATGCTATAGTACAAAGATTTTGGATAAAATTGGTGGTACGTCCAAAAAACATTTTCACGATCAAAACCACCTAAAATTGTATGCTATAGTACACAGATTTAAGGTAAAATTTGTGGAATGTCCAAAAAACTTTTTCACCATCAAAATCACCAAAAAATGTATTCTATAGTACACATATGTTAGATAAAATTGGTGGTACGTCCAAAAAACTTTTTCACGGTCAAAATCACCTAAAATTGTACGCTATAGTACATCGATTTTGGGTAAAATTGGTGGGACGTCCAAAAAACTTTTTCACGATCAAAATCACCAAAAATTGTACGCTGTTACACCGGTTTTGGGTAAAATTGGTGGAACGTCCAAAAAACTATTTCACGATCAAAATCACAAAAAACTATGTACTAGTATACAAATTTTGAGTAAAATTGGTGAAACGTCCAAAAAACTATTTCACGATCAAAATCCCCAAAAACTTTACATTATAATAGTACACAAATTTTGGGTAAAATTGGTGGAACGTCCAAAAAACTATTTCACGATCAAAATTACAAAAACTGTACATTATAATAGCACACAGATTTAAGGTAAAATTGGTGGAACGTCCAAAAAAACTATTTCACGATCAAAATCACCAAAAACTGTACGCTATAGTACACAAATTTAGGATAGAATTGGTGGAGCGTCCGAAAAACTATTTCACGATCAAAATCACCAAAAAAACAGTATGCTATATAGTACACAGTTTTCTAATAAAATTGGTGGAATGTATAAAAAAATTCACGATCAAAACCACCTAAATATGTACGCTATAGTACACAAATTTTGGATTATAGTGCAAAATTAGTCGTTGTTTTTCATAAAATGTAACTATTTTACCCAATAGTAGCTAATAAATACACTTTAGGATAAATGACAACTACCTCCCAAAAGTAAAGTGTAGTTATAAAAAAGACTTTTTTTTTATAGAAATTACATTCAGCCCCTGCAATTCATAATTTTCTTACATCCGCCCTCTACAAAATGGTGGTTGTAATTTACACTAAACTCAATACACGACGAAAATCAAAGATCAAAGTAATAGTTCAATGAAAAGAAAATTCGGACACGTTGCCATTACTTGAGTTCTATTAGAACGCCACGAAGTTCGCATCCAACTGACACGTGTCATCCTCCCACTTCCTTTCGGCGTCCTCTTGAAACAAATTTACAGTATATCATCACTCAGCTGAAAAGATTAAATTATCTTATCTGGGAAAAAAAGGAAAAGGAAAAGGATTAATTAAAGAGAAAATGAGTGGGAGTAATCTGGAAACTCGATCATTGCTGGATGAATTGAAGAATTTCGAAAAGGGTTTGTTCTTTGATCTTGGCCACCCTTTGCTCAACCGCGTTGCTGAAACCTTTGTTAGAGCTGCTGGGGTAACATCAATTCATTCTTCTTTGCAAATTTATTATGTTGTAAGGCCTCGTTTGGTTGGTTGGGAGATTAGCCATTATTAATTAAATAATTGGACTTTGTTTAATGTTTGGTATATTGGGGTCGATTCGTGAATATTATGTTATCGTGGCTTATCTTGTCTTTTAAGGAGTTTTTTTTGTGATGTTCTATAAAATAATTGGGTTTTCACAAGATTGTTTAAAATATTATGTTGTATACATATTGTAAGGCCTTGTTTGGTTGGGGAATTAACCATTATTAACTAACTAATAGGATTTTGTTTGATGTTTGGTATCCCTATAATTTGGTGGGTCGATTTATCTTGTCTTTTTGGGAGTTTTTTTGTTGGACATCCCTGATGTTAGATATCATAATTGGATTTTTTTTAGATTATTTAATCTTATCTTAACAACAAAACGAAGCCTAATTGTAAACGTATGACAAGATTTTTTTTATTTTTTTGATGGTTTGTTTATTTGCAGATTGGTGCCGTTCATGCTGTATCAAGGGAAGCTTATTTAACTGCTGTGGAAAGTGAGTGACATTAAATTTCTGTTTCACTTATGTTGCATTTATTTAGTTTTTCTTTTTTTTTTTTTTAATTTTTTTATTTCAAATTGTTTTTGGTGATGTATAACTTGTTTTATTATAATTAGGTGTGAGTGGAGATGCAACAGGTGGACTTCCACGGGAGATTGGCGCCCCGAAGAAACGCCACGTGTTTCCCGACCTCAGAGGTACTACTACTACTACTACTACTACAAGTTTTTATGAAGCTAATTGAATTCTTATAACATATTACATTTAATTTCTTGGTGAGAAATGAGATTCTGTATTAGTGGATTCCAATGATTTTTAAGACAGTATTTTTTATGTCAAATCTATCGAATTTATGATTGTGGATTAATGTAACGATTTGCGTATTTTTCTAGGCTTATATACTATTTATTGAATTTGGGATTGTGAATGTCATGACATTGCTTTTAAATATGGTTTCTTCAATCGATAATCGTCTCGTTTTTTCACGCGACTATGTGCAGGGGAAAACAATCGGAAGTCGGTTGAGGCCTTAGTAAGTCGAAATATATGGTGTAATAAAACTTTTAGATAATTCGCATTAATTCATTTTGTCGTGACTATTATGATTCTAATGCCTTTGTTTGTACTAATGGTCTAGGTGAAGAGCACTGGGAAAGAATCTCTCCAATGGGGTAAAGAATATTATAATCTTTCGAAACAGTTGAGGGTATTTTCGTCCTTCCATCCCGTTTGGTAGTAATAATCTGGTAATGCAGGTGTGGCGGCTGGGATGTATTCGGGTCTTACTTACGGGTTGAAAGAAGCTAGGGGTGTCCATGATTGGGTACATATATACACAATACATATATAAAAATATTCTTTTAGTTGGTTTTTATTACTATTTTCTGATTTCTTTTAAAAAAAATTTAATTTGTTCTGCCGGAGCAGAAAAGTAGTGCATTGGCCGGAGCGGTGACGGGAGCGGCAATGGCGCTGACACTAGACAACCACTCGCACGAGCAGGTGGTGCAATGTGCTATTACGGGAGCTGCTGTATCCACCGCCGCAAATCTTCTTACCGGAATATTCTAGTTAGTTATATGATGCTTCGTTTTTAAATCGAAATCTTGGGTGTTTGCTTTAATTTCTTTACACAGTGATTTAATATTTCTTTTGTTGTTTTTTATTAATCTTGTTTATTATGCATTGATGACCATGTTCATAATTCAGCTTAAAGCAAAGATTTTTTGCTTTGAATACATGTGCAGTGTGAACTGACAAAACTTTCAAAGGTCAAACCATAGCATGCAATGAACTCTAGATGTAAGATCTCTTTGTATTATTAAATATGTAGGTCTCCGGGCAGGACCATATTTAGGTGGTGGTTGTAAAAAAATATTTATAATAGCTTGTTATATAAGAGACACAAAATCACACCATAATTATACGTAATAAGCTCGATCTAGTGACTGTTGGCACAAAGATTCAAATTTGAGTCAATTGATATAAATTCACTTGCTCCAACCACTAACGTCATTTGTAAGATTCGATCGACATAAGTTTGGTAGGTTTCCTACCACTGAACTGTCACCTGCAAGATTCAAACTTGGGTCAATCGACATAGGTTCACTTGCTCGCTCCAACCACTGAACCGTTACTTACAGATTCGAACTTGGATCAATCGACATAAGTCATTTGTTCTTGCTCCAACCACTAAACCATCACTTACAAGATTCAAACTTGCGTCAATCGACATAAGCTCACTTGCTCTTGCTCTAACCACTGAACCGTCACTTGCAAAATTCGAACTTAGATCAATCGACATAAGTTCACTTGCTCTTGCTCCAACCACTAAACCGTCGCTTGCAAGATTTAAACTTGGGTCAATTACATAAGTTCTCTTGCTCCAACTACTGAACCATCAATTGCAAGATTCAAATTTGGATCAATGACGTAAGCTCACATACGCCAACCACTAAACCATCGTTGCAAGATTCAAATTTGGGTCAATTGACATAAATTCACTTGCTTCAACCAACAAACCGTCGCTCGCAAGACAAAGAAGGAAAGACTTTGTTCTTTATTAGCTGCAATCATGCAACTAGATGGATATGACTTTTGTGGGCAAAATAAGTTGACTATCAACCCATTGACTAAAGGCAAAAAAAAAAAAAAACATGTCTTAAATTTATTGCTTTGTTGAATATGAAGTGGGGGGCTCATACAACATTATAATGCAGGTGTGTTGGATTTATTGCTTTATATGACTTTTTCCAAGTTTGTTTTTCTAGAACATACACTTATTTCAACTCAGTGCTATTATATATGTATATGTGTCTCTCTTTTTTTTAGTTTTATTTTATTTTTATTTAAATTAGAATGTCTTTTGATTAGTTGTGGATAGGCCCACCCCACCATCACCCATGCACCCACCCACCCACCAAAATAGTTAATGGTGGCTCAATATTCACTTTTCCATTGAATACTTTTGAGTTTTGAGTGTCATTTACGAGTATAGACAAATAACATGATTGCAAGTGTAATGTAATAACAATCTTATATTTATTTATTTAATTATGTAGATAAAACAAATTTGCAGGTGTCACCAGTTGCATCACAAGTAAATCTCTCTGATACACAATCTTATATTTGTATTATTTAATATTATTTATCGCATCATACGCAGATTTTGCTTTGAACTAACACCAACTCCAATTAATAAAATAATAATAATACATGTGAACTAAGTGACAAAATTTTCAAAGGTCAAACTTAGCATACACTATACACTTGTATAGTTGACTTGTGAAAAAAATATATATATATACACTTGTACAGTTGTCTATACAAGTAGGATTTATTTTTTATAGCGTAAATTACGGCCAGGACTAAAATTCCAAAAAACTCCTTGGCTATTTACAATTATACTTCTAAACTATATGTGTTTTTACACGTCCAGCCTATGGTGATAAAATTTAATGTAATCTTTTAGATTTCATAATATTCTCTAGTTTGTACTCGTTTTGTAAAAAAATGCAGTTTTTGATGCATTATAATCTGATATTTACAAGCCAAGAGACATGATGATCTTGTTTCCAAATATGGAGCTCAAATGAGATAAATAAGTACAAACTGGAGAATATTTCATATAATAAAATTCTATTAAATCTGACAATGCAATGATGTACGTGTAAAAAGATTCAATAAGATTTTTCGTAATTTGATTTATCTCATGTGACCGTAATTTACCGCTTTTTTATATAAATTAAAAATGTCAAAAGTATCTTCCACATAGACAAAAATTTCCACGCCTAACTAAATTATACAGTTGCAAAAGTACTGAAAAAATAAATAAATAGAATAAATATATAAAAAGAAAAATCAGTACTAAAGTCAGACAAAGACAAGTCAAACTTACTCTTTTAGCATCTCACTATAAAATGCTCAAAAAACACTTCACACTTTCTCACACTAAAAAGAAATGGAATCTCCACCATTCATCACCACCCTCCTCCTCTTCCTCCTCCCAATCCTCGCCGTACTCCGCCACTCCGCCGCCGCCGCAACACCCTACCCGAAAGAAGCCCTCCCCACGAAATCCGGCTACTTGAAAGTCAACTCCACCTCAAGCTCAGCCATTTTCTACACATACTACGAATCTCAAACCTCTCACAAAAACTCAGAAACCCCAATTCTGATATGGTTACAAGGCGGGCCGGGCTGTTCATCAATGCTGGCCAATTTATTCGAGCTCGGCCCGTATCTAGTGAACCAAGACCTCTCTCTCAAACCAAATCCAAATTCATGGAACAAAATTTTCGGCCTGCTTTTCCTCGACAATCCAATCGGCACCGGCTTCAGCATCGCCGCCTCGCCGGAGGAAATACCTAGAAACCAAAACGACGCCGCGAAGCACCTCTACGCAGCGATCAACAAATTCATCTCCCTCGATAAGTCGTTCAAAACCCGGCCGATCTACCTCACCGGAGAAAGCTACGCCGGAAAATACCTCCCGGCGCTGGGCTACTACATTCTGAAGAGGAACGCACTTTTGCCGGTCAATAGCCGGATGAATTTCGCCGGAGTTGCCATCGGAAACGGATTGACCGATCCGGAGATCCAAGTCTCCACCCATGCATCGAACGCCTACAATTTGGGGCTGATCAACGAGGAGCAAATGGTCCAATTGGAGAAGATCCAATCCGAGACCGTTGGATTCGTGACACGTGGCAAATGGAACGAGGCCACGAATTCGAGAAACAGAGTGTTGGCTACACTAACTAACATGACTGGATTAGCCACTCTGTATGATTTCAGGAGACTAACTCCCTACCCAAACAAGGTGGTTGTCAAGTTCCTGAACAATGTGGAAGTGAAAAGAGCCCTAGGGGTAAAAGAGTCAAAAGTTTTCGAGCTGTGCAGTAGTGCCGTTGGCGAGGCGTTGCACGACGACGTCATGAAGAGCGTGCGGTACTTGGTCGATTTCTTGGTTAAGAAGACTCGGGTTTTGCTCTATCAAGGGCAGTGCGATTTGAGGGACGGTGTTTTTTCGACGCTTTCGTGGGTGAAGAAGCTGAATTGGGAAGGTACCGACGATTTTTTGAAGGCGGAGAGGAAGATTTGGAGAGTCGACGGAAATTTGGCGGGATACGTGCAGAAATGGGAGGGTTTCAGCCATGCTGTAGTGTTGAATGCAGGGCATCTTGTGCCTACTGATCAGGGTTTGAATTCTCAAGTTATGATCCAAGATTGGGTTTTGGAGAGAGGGTTGTTTTCTGATGAGAAAACCCATTAATTTAATATCTTATCTTGGCAACCAAACGAGGGCCTTATTTGTTGCAATAATATGATAAATTTGTATTCGTTTAGAATCAAAGTATCTAATGTTTCTACTCTTCATGCTCAGTTTATTCGTAAGTAGTTAAGAAATAGTTCGTCTGAAAGTTGTTTCAATACTCTTTGGATCGTCGAGCAAAATCTCAAAAAACTGTATACTATATATACTATATATATAGCACACGCGTTTTTGTTAAAAATCGATGAAATAATCAAATCTTTTTTCGAGAATTTTTAACATTCAAATATATAATATAGAATATGTGTATCCATAAATAGTCAGGAAACAGTTCATCTAGAAATTATTTCATTGATTTTTGAATCGTCAAGAAAATCGGAAAAAAAAAAAGGTATACTATAGCACACGTTTTCTATTAAAATCGCTAAAATGCCAAAAAAATAATAATTATTTTTGAACATTCAAATTTGTAGTATAGAATATGTGTATCCATAAGTGGTCAAGAAATAGTTCATAAAAAAAAAATACTGATTTTTGAATCGTAAACAAAAATCTCAAAAAATTGTATACTATAGCATACATTTTTTGGTGATTTTGATCGTGAAATAGTTTTTCGGACGTTTCACTAATTTTACCCAAAATCTGTGTATTATAGTGTACAATTTTTGGTGATTTTGATCGTGAATAGTTTTTTGGACGTCCCACAAATTTTAACTAAAATCTTTGTACTACAGTATATAGTTTTTGGTGATTTTGATCGTGAAATATTTTTTTGGACGTCGCACCAATTTTAACTAAAATTTGTGTACTATACTATACTATTTTTGGTGATTTTGATCGTGAAAAAGTTATTACACACACTACACCGAAAACACACACTAAAAAGAATACACACACTACACCGAAAACACACACAAAAAACAATTACACACACTACACCGAAAACACACACTAAAAAAATACACTCACTACACCGAAAACACACACTAAAAAAACAACACACACACTACACCGAAAACACAAAGTAAAAAAAACACACACGACACCGTAAAAACACTAGAAAAAAGTAAACACGCTACACGGAAAACACACACTAAAAAAATATGCACACAATACACCGAAAACACACACTAAAAAAATACACATACTACACCGAAGACACACACTAAAAAAAATTACACACACTACACCGAAAACACACACTAAAAAATATACACACTGATTTGTACAAATATGTTGATGGGTCCTTCACACCAGAATATGCTGAGAGGGCTCTCCTGGATTCTATAAAAACACAGGATATAAAGAAAACCGGGCGGAGGCCGGGGTTAGCACTCCGACGGTCAAATCAGTATATTGTTGGTTTTTGAAGATATTGAAGAACAAAACTGTATATTTCTCTTTTTGTTGTATATATCAGGGATGATGCTCAAATGAATTAATCTCTTACTATTTATAGAAAAAACTTCTCAGAGCGGATTCCAAATACGGATTTCACTTCTATTTTAGTTGTCATCTCCAACATTACCTGTCTTCTCAATGAACAGTACTATGAACAGTGTTGTGGGCTGCTTATTCCCTAGGCTGCATATTCTCTGACATCTTTGACATTAGAGAGAGGCATTAAATACAGGTTGATTGGCCCTCGCCTTCCCGCGACTGGAGCGACCTACCTCTCGCTCCTGTGCTCTCCTCTCAGTTAGGTACCCTAGATCATTGATTTACCAGATCACCTAGCCTGTATATTCTCTGCTATTCCTGACATTTGAGATGACGTGTAATAAATGTGAGTCGGCGTCATTGATCTTCTTCATAAACCATATCTACTCTCTCGATGATTTCCCTCTCGCCAGGGAGCTCCTCCTTTCCTCTCGACAGCAAAAAAGGGTTCCCGCGAGATCTCGATCATTGGGCCCTTACTGGGCTTTCCTTTAATGGGCCAGAATTTCTACCGGATCAACTAGCCCCCTGCTCGCGGAGACAGATCGATAGTCTCTCGCGAGTATATTTATTCGTTACCGCTGTTATCATTTATTTATTTAATATATATATATATATATATATATATATATATATATATATATATATATTTTTTTTTTTTTATTATTATTATTATTATTATTTTTTTTTTTTTGTGTGCCAGTTACACTTCCCGAAATTGCGGCCCTTCACCCGAGGAGACACCCGTCTCTTCGACTTAAACGTGACGGCTGCACTGCCCTGGGTAACCGTGCAGCCGTCGTTTCACATTATTACTTCTTCTGCTATAAATACCCCATTCTTCCTCATTTCTTCCCTCTTATTTCCTTTGCCATTTCTTCTATTTTTCCGGCGTCTGTTTTTTCCCCTTTTTTTTCTTTTTTCGGCGTTTGTTTCCTCCTCCTCCGGCGACTATTCCAGTTCTCCTTTTCTCCAGGTACATCTACTCCTCTTTTTCTTTTTGTTTTCCTTTTATTCACCTTTCCCTTCAAATTCCTATGGCCTCCTCTTCTTCTTCGTCTGGGGAGGCTCCTCCTCCTCCTTCCACGGTTGGCTCCTCACGCGCCGCCGTGCCCAAAAAGAAAAAGAAAACAGTAATCTCCAAAATGCGAGGTAAGCCCTCCTCTCGCAAAGCCGGCGAGGTTGGTGGTCCGGCTCCTCCTCCACCCCAAGGTCGCGGAATCGTCCGCGAGCCTAAAACGAGAGAACCTACTTTATATATCCCCTCTGTCCCAGTTAAATCCATACTCACGGCCGACGACATAGCCGACCTCCTCATCCGCCAGGGTTTGGATGTGTCTTACGACATAGCCCTCCCGGACCCTTCCCAGGATTCCTTACATCCTCCTCTCGGCTTCAGTACCTGGTACTTGGATCAATTTCTTGCGGGTTTATCCCTGCCTATTCATCCTTATTTTTTTGCTGTAGCGAACAAATATAGAGTCCCCCTTAACCAATTTCTTCCTAACTCTATAAAATTTATGTCCGCCTTTTTTATGATTTGTCTCGAAGCGGGCATTAACCCAACCGGCGAACTCTTCCATTCAGCGTTTGTCATAAATCACTCTCCCTCAGGCTTTTTCCATCTAACCTCTCGCCCTAGATTGGGCCTTTTCAGCGGGTTGTCCAACAAAGTTCAAAATTGGCCTCAAAGGTTCTTCTTTGTTCGCCCCCATTTTCCCGAAGTTTTTCCGACCTCCTTTCTGTTAGATTCCCCGACCCCTGTGGCCGCGACAGAGGGGTGTAAGCCGTTTCTTGCTCATTTGGCCTCTCGCGCCCCTGCTGAGCGATGGGACGTTGAGAAATTGATTGCCACCCCCTTCTTTTTGCCCGCTCCGGCCTTTGGGCCATGTCTTGCCCCGACTCTCGCTCTCTTGGTACTTTTATTTCCCTTTTATTTACTTAAATGACAATTCCGTTCGTCTATCTGATTGTTTTCTTTACGCAGGCGAAATGATGCGAGAGGCTATGAAGGCGGCCTTGGCCAAATAGCGTGCACAGTCTTCCTCTCGCCAGATCTCGGAATCCACGAGTCATGCTCCCTCCACCCGCCAGCCTTCTCCGGACAGGGCCGTGACGAGTGCGGCTCTCGGCGCTTCCTCAGTCCCTCCGTGGGTTGCGACATGGGAGCCCATCATCGAACTTGGCAGCGAGAACACTGCCCAGGGAGTACCTGACCTATCGATTTATGCCGAGAGGACTCCGTCGGGCGTGGGGGGTCCGAAATGTCTGTGCATCCTGGAGAATGAAGGAACTTCGCTCGCCTCCAAGCGCTCTCGAATCCGGGAGGGTGGTTTCCTGTCTTCTTATCACCCTGACATTCCCATGGAAGACCTGTTCCTACATTTCGATCAGTTGAGGTGTGCGGAGGATGCCCAAGCTCTTGAACGGCTGTCTCCTGAGCAAAAGCAAGCTCGCCTATTATTTCATGCTTCTCAGGTAGAACCACAGCTTTCTTTATAGTTTTATCGAGACGACTTGCCACCTTGGAATATTATTCTCGCATGTTTTTACCCCTAAAGACATGTTTTTAACTTCTTAGATGAACGTGCTTTTGGCCCATGGCTTTGGTGCGGACGAGACCTCTCGCCAAGCTGAAATCGCCCGTCTTAAGAAAGAGATCAGCGAAAAATCCTTGGAAGTGATCCAATTGCGAGATTATGTTTGCCAGCTGAAACAAGCCAAGGAGATCTCAGACGAGAAGGTTCAGACGGAGGTCCAGAAATATAGAGAGATGAAGGCCTCCCTAGAGAGCAAAATCAGGAGGCTAGAGGCAGAGAAAGAACAGACGATGGTCGTGGCTCGCGAGACCACGAAAAATATGGAGATAGAATGCATCCGCGCAGTGGCGCACGAGAGGGCCAAAGGGTTGTACGATACTCTCTGCTCGCCGAGCGGGCAACATTTTCTGTCCAAGTATCGTGAGGCCTTGATCAATAATTATCCCCTGTCGATGCATTTTGCCTCGAAAGCGGCCTCCATCGGAGTTGGTTATTTCGAACGCGGGATTCGCCTGTACGCAGAGAGGAACGGTTATCCTGATCCTACTGAAGTCATAGGCTACTTGCTCGATCAGCTCGGTGATGAGATTCCCGGATGGGAGGGCAACCCCGAAGAACCGCTCGACCATGATTGGTGGTCGAGGATCCTTGAAGAGATGCTCGCTTCCCTTAACCGTTATGCTTCTCACGCTCCTTCGACAGTGGCTCAAATGGACTCAGGTCACCCGTTCGTCTCCGATCCTCCTTCTGGCTCAGCCCACGTTCTCGCGGCCGAAGCATCAACAATGATTGCCGAGCCCCCGACTGTCGCCGATACACACGCTCCCGCTCCTTGAAGTCCCTTGGAAAAATATTTCTATTGCTTTTTTTTTTTTTTTTTTTTTTTTTTTTTTTAATCAGAACACTTGCAGTATTTTATTTTATTTTGCTTAAAAGTGTTCTTTCTATATTCAGTCTTTAAATTCTTTCGAGGATCCTTTTCGAAACTGGATCATTATTATGTTCATGTTTCTCGAATTCTATCGAGGATCTCATGAAGCTTATGCTCTCGTAATTTCTATCTTCCTCGAATTCTATCGAGGAATTCTCTGAGCTCGTGCTCTTTTTATTTTCATGGCTCTCGACTTCCGTCGAGGGCTATTTCTATGGACTTAGGTCCTGATGTATGTTT